CTTCAAAGCCCCTGTCCCAAGAAGCCTACTTTGAAACCGCTCACTCACTATGATATCTGCCTGGATTTCCATTCAAAGCACTCATCACAGACTGTTTTTGATACTTTTCTATACCTGTTCCCTTGACCTAACCAGATGATAAATTATTTCAGGGAAGAAACTGAGTCTAATTTCTGAGTCCTGTACAGGGCACAATATACATGTCCAGTATTTGCTGACTGTGACTCTCAACTGTAGTTTGAAAATAGTCATAGATATTACCAATTTTCTCAAAAGTTTTAATATTTGTTTTAGACAAAATTCCACAAAGATCACACAGTATTTTTTTAAGGATGTGAAAAACCAGATAGTGTAGCTTTAAGCTGAGCCTTAGCCCAAATCTGAGTTTAGAAGCCCATTTCTCTTATAGTACACATGATCATGTGTGGACAGCTACTTGGAGCATGAGAAGGTACAGAGGCTCCCTAAAGAGGGGAAATTAGCAAAGCTGTCAGAGACTTCTTGTGCTGCCTTCCTATAAATTACAGGTGGATTAATTTAATACACGAGAACCCAAATAATTTTAAAGTCTTCTGCATCAATATTATACTTTGAAATAACACAAAGAAGCATGGAATAATATATGTTGTACATTTGTCACCAATGTCTTATGAAAAATTATTATGAAAGTTTTAATAGTTTAGTCAGCTGTCACTGTTGTTTTCTTTTAACATGATACTGAATAAAGTAGCGCAGAACAATCTTTAAAAAAAACTTTTGCATCATCTGATACAGATAGGCATCATCACCATTTACCAAGATTTTTGTTTCTACATATGATCAGAAAGAGATCATTTCTTAAACAAATAGGGCAGGGTCTGCATCTTTCTGCACAATGCATGGCATAGGAATTTTTAAACTAATAGCTAACACTCTACATTTATTTCCCCATTAACCACCACTACTTTTATCCCCACTTTACAAAGGAAGAAAGTGAAGCCCAAGGTCATGGCTAGTATGTGGCTAAGTTGGGACCAGCACTGGTCTGCCTGACCCCAAATCTCATTCTCTGGAAATTAGCAAATTAGCTAACATTATTTTGATTCATATAAATCCTCTTCAGGAATGAACATGCTGTGGTCACTGCTGCAGTGAGCCTTTGTTTTTCCAGAATCAAAGGACTTGACTTTTTCTTTACTTTTCTTTAAATTTAATTTATTAATTAATTTATTTAATTTTGGCTGTGTTGGGTCTTCGTTGTGGTGCGCGGGCTTCTCATTGCGGTGGCTTCTCTTGTTGTGGAGCACGGGCTCAGTAGTTGTGGCTCGCGGGCTCTAGAGCACAGGCTCAGCAGTTATGGTGCACGGGCTTAGTTGCTCTGCGGCATGTGGGATCTTCCCAGACCAGGGCTCGAACCCGTGTCCCCTGCACTGGCAAGCGGATTCTTAACCGCTGTGCCACCAGGGAAGCCCCTGTCACTTCTTCTTTTAACATTATTGAGGCCCTACTGAGCTCAAAGACAGTGTTCAAGGAGATGCCTGCATGAACCAGACAAAATACGTGCCCTCAAGCAGCTGAAAGTACTCCACATGACCAAAGTAAAGGGTTTTTAATTTATCGTACCCAGCACGAATGTTTCCTACCAGTGTTTTAACTCAATTATGAGACAAGAGATTTTCAAAATCCTGAGCCTAAGACACTGAGCTTCTACCTGTGGGATAAAGCACTTGGCAGTCTGCCTCGTTTCGTGGTTACATCCAGAGATTCTAGTTTAGTTAGAGTCCCCGCGGTAGCGCTTGATGCCCTGCACTAATTCGCCAGGTAGCTATCGATTGCTCTACGAACAAATTTGGGGCTCTGTCCCGGGAAGTTCACTGCCACAAGGGGCCTCTGACACTTCTTTCCTCAGGTAAACCACCCCGATCTACGTGGAGTCACCCGTGCTTGCAATGAGTGGCTTCCTCCCACTACAGTGTAAGCGCCAAGCCGGAGGCCGACAGCGCACACGTTCGTGGCGGATAACCGCCAGGGCTTGGGAGCGGCTCCAGCGCCCCACCGCCGCCGGCGCCCCCGAAGGCAGGAACGTGCCTCCTCCTCACCCGCAGCCCCCCAAGGACCTGCCGCGTTTGAACCCCCTGATCCGCGGCCCCGCCCGGCCGGCGCTCGGGACACCGCCTTCGCGGTGCTCGCTGCCGCCGCCGCGTCCCGAGAGGAAAAGGGCGAGAGTAATCTCAAATACCGCCGGGCCAAGGGCCAAGCGTCTTCCAGCGTCCTCCGCTGAGCCCCAGTCGCCGACCTCTCACCTCTGACGCGATCTCTACGTGAGAGCCGGGGACGCGGAGTCACAGCCCGCGCACGTCGCCCCAGCCAATCCGGAGCTCGCTCCGGGCCGCCCCACCCACCGCGTACAGGCTCGCACTCATCCGCCGGCACTGACACCGGCGTACCAGCCACTGGCTTCTGATTGGATGAGGCCGGCTGTGGGCAGAACCGGGAAAAGCCGGGCAGACTGCTGGTGCGCTAGGTGGGTCAGGATCCGGTAGGATCCGGTAGGAGCTTGCGACGTCGTGCAGCTGTCTGTAAGTGATGCATGCCAGGGTTTTGGGAGCGGGGGACGCCGGGCCGTGGGATGGGAAGAAGCGGGGCCACGCTGGGCCAGGCTGAGAGCACCTTGGGAGGGTTGGGGATCGCAGGACTGGGATGCCTGGGCTGAAGGGGGCGAAGTCTGGTTGGCGGGGCTCAGGCCCCACCTCGCGGTGCAAGGGAGGCTGGTGAGGGCGTACGGAGCCTATGAGGGGATGCAGCAAAGGCTTGAGGAGCGAAGGCTCGCGGATGGAGCTGGGGAGGGACGGGGCTGGGGCCAACTTCGGGGAACTCGTAGACGGGGGTGGGTGAGGAGGGATTGAGAGGGCGGGCGCTCAGGCCATGGAGTCCTGACAAGGTCACAAGAAGAGAGAGGGGAGGAAAATTGAAGGGTTGAGAGGAGGGCGTAAAACCAAACGACCTTCCTGCCATCGGCTTCATCTTCTCCCCGGGCCGCTATTCCGTTCCACCTTTGGCGACCCTCTTCGGCCCTAGGAAGGTTAAGAAGGACCCGGGCATGTATCAAGCATCTCTACCGTAATTTACATTTCTTCCGAAAAAGTAAACCTGCCAGATTAGAAATTACAAAACATAGCACGGGATTAGTATTGGGAGCAGCCGAAATGATTCGGCAGGTTTATTCGCCTCTTGTATTTTACCTGTGCGGGAAGCAGTTATTTCCCTCTTCGGGGTAATCCCTATGGAAGGAATCTATGCTTTCGGAAGTACCCAGACCGGTTTGGATGAAAAGTTATGATGGACTGAAGCGGTACCAGGCCCCAGCATGATAATCGTATTTGAGTTCTGTATACCAGGGGTTCTCTTGCTTCCCTGCGCACCAGAATCTCTTGAAGGGGTCTTCTTAAGATACAGATTCCTTGGGCCCTGCCCCAGACCATCTGAATCAGAATCTTCCGGGGTGGCGCCTTGCAGCCATTTTAAACAGGCTGACAGGTAACGGATGCAAAATCAAAATTTGAAACCATGGTTGTTAGGTAGTAGTTCCAGTGACCAAAATGACAGGCTGTGAAGATCCTTAAATCTTTTACATCACGTGATGCTGGGCAGCTCCAGTTCCCTTATGCCTCTTCTAGGTTCCCATGCATTTGGAAAGGTCTTCAGTAGTATCTTACCAAGTTTACAGACTACTTCGTGTTTTCCAAACTGGCTTTGAGTATCTGGTTATAGGTGCCTCTTTTTGTTCCTGTTCAACTTTCCGACAGAGATCTGGGTCAGCTGCTGCAGGTGGATGAGAAAATGATAATAAAGGAAAATTCAGAAGTGGCGCTAGGGAAAAAAGAATCTTCAAATCACACTTGAAATTGTTAGATGAATTAAGTCACTGGGAAAGAAGGTTCCATTTAATTTTAGGCATGACTGACATTTTTTACAATTCAAAGAAAGATGTGGGCTCCTGTTAAGGAGTGGATTTTAAATGTTTTTCAGATTAAATACATACCAGCATTATAAGACAGATGATTTGGCAATATATTGTCAATCAAAAGAACCCACAACTGTGTATCAGGAGAGCTGGGTTCTAATCCTACCCTGCCAGAGATGTATTCCTCCTGTTGAGCAGTTCATTTAACCCTTCATAACCTTTTTTTTTTTCCTTCTGTAAAATAAGCCTATTGGCATGGATTAATAAAATGGGTTTTTACTCTCAAGTTATATGATCTGTACTTACTGACCCTGATATTTTAAAAGTGAACCATTTTGTATTTAAGTGGCTATAAATCATGAATACTTGGGAAACTTCTAGGTGGTCATTAGGAAGAGAATTATCAAAATCTTTTACTCAGGGAGTGTTACAGATATATATTATGCTAGATATATGATTTGAACCGTAGAGTAACAAATAACTTTGTGATATATTGGACTTCTAATATTCCCCTTTATTTTATCCTGAAATGTGCACACAAGGTGTTCTGGGTCAGAGACAGATTATCATTAGTCACTTGAGACATAATGACCACATGGTTTCCTCACACCCTGATTCTTTCCCCAGGGACTACTTTCTGAAAGCCAGATCTAATGTCCTGTCCGTACAAACTGCTGAAAGGTGATCCGCCTCCCTCCTGAAAGGAAGGAGAAGGGAACATTTGCTCCATTGACCTGTTGGACAGTTAAAGTTATCCAGATGTGAGAGATTAAAGGAAAAACTACCAACTTTCTTGCTTTTAAAGACAATTCCCAAATGACTTCTTAGTTTAGGAATAATTAAGGCAGAGGAAGAAAACATGCTTTTATATATGTAAAAGAAGGTGCTAGTTTTTAAAAGTAGATTGTGGTATATAATGGTTTTGTCTCTTGTGGTTGCAAGGCTCCAAGACCTACTCAGGCTATCATGTGTTCTTTCATAGATACAATATAAGAATTAAAAGAAAAATAAGCACTTATGTACACACAGCTTGACATTTTTATTACTGACTCTACAAATGTGTATAATTGTTAGTTTTCACTAAATTTTCCTAATTACCTGAGAATAATTTTAATTGTTGAAAATATTACTTTAAAATTTATTCAACAAACATTTTGTGGTCTACTTTATGTGATAAGCATCATGCCAGGCTATGGTATAGACACAAGCAGGACAGGTGTGACCTCCTGACTTCAAGGATTCTAGTGAGAAAAACAGTTAAACTTGCATTTATAAGAAAGAGTTATTATAGAGAAAGCATCGGGTCCTATGGGACTGCATGACCAAAGCACTTACCATAAACTGGGAGAGTCAGAGAAGACTTTCCAGAGCAGGTCAGTTAAGGCAAGAAACCAAAAGATGGGAGGTCTTAGCCCAGAAAGAGTATCTGAAGGGAACGAAAAGGGAAGAAACGTTTCAGGCAGAGGAGGTAGCTTGTGCAAAGGCTTGGAGGTTTAGAGAGCATCTATAAGAAGTTTAATGTGATTAGAATGTGGGGTTGGTGAGGGAGGTTGAAGGAGGATTTGTGATAAAAACAGAAAAGTTTTTGAAACTTTTGCCTTTGGGAAGTTTAGATTGGTTATGAAGGAAACTAATAAACATACTGGCCTAAAATAAATACAGTATTTAATCTTACCATGTAGTACATTTATATAGTATCTTGTTGCTGGTTTGTTTTGTTTTGTTTTGTTTGCCGCACAGCGTAGAGGATCTTAGTTCCCTGGGGGGGCGGGGATTGAACTCATGCCCCCTGCAGTGGAAGTGTAGAGACTTAACCACTGGACCGCCAGGGAAGTCACCATTTATGTAGTATCTTGTAAGCCAATCTCAAATATTTCTCTGAAACCTCCCAAATTTTATCCAAAAGACATCACACTCTAAATTCTCATTGTCTCTGTTGGCAAAGTGATCACACTCTGGCATGTCTATTTTAAAGAATCTAATTTGTGAAACATTATTTCAGTGTTTACATTCTATCTCTTCAAATATATAGTGAGCATCCTGAACCTTGAGCTTGTTGAACCTTGTATATAATAAAAGCTCAGAGAAAGTAAGGGTTTATTCAGTTAGCAGGTAATGGAGCACAAAACAGAAGAGAAAGTCTAGTCCTAATTTCTTCTGTCTAGCTGTGTGTTACTGTACAACTCATTGGGATTAAGGTTTTCTTCTCTGTCAGATGACAGAATTGGACTCTTCCCAGTGAGGATGGGGGCTTGGAGGGACAATCTCACTTTTCAAACTAAGCACTAAGCCTCCCCTCTAGAGTTGGATTTTCTTTGAGGACCTTGACTACTACTAATCCCCTTGAATAGCAGAGTGTTAAATGAGAGCTATTATTACTGAAGGGAGTATGATGCACATGAAAAACCCAGAAGCTAAGGTAAGGCTATATGGGTAATGGCAGTTTACTTTTGAGTTTATTGTAATTGACGTCAATCAGAGACTTGTGCAGTTATATACTATGTTTGACTCCCTTTTTTATCTACAGGTAAAGTTTATAGTCTGTTCAGCTCAGTCAGAAGGAAGTATGTACATAGTTACTGTGACTAAGGTGAAATTGAATTTGTTATTACTTTATTGTGATGAAATGCCTACTAGCGTCCTGTGTAAAAAAATTGACCAAAAAGGGAGAATGGAGCCTTGGTCCCTTTGTGATAGAAATGAATCTTTTTTTTCTGCCCTCTAATTCATATAATCAGGCCAGTATCTTGCTTTTTTGGTACCACTTAAAGGAATAGTCTTATAAAAGAAGTATGCTTTTAATGCAGAACCTCATGGAAATTCTGTTTCAGGAAGATTCTTCAATCACTATGTCAAGTGACACAGATGTTTCTCTTTCTTCATACGATGAAGGTCAGGGATCTAAACTTATCCGAAAAGCTAGAGAGGCACCATTTGTCCCCATTGGTAAGTTTGACTTTGATGGTCTAATAAGCTATTGTAAGCTTTAACACAGTAGAAGTGTGGTAAACTTGTTTGGTTCATCAAGAATTTCCTGAAAGCATTTATTTTTGAATATTTTTTCATATCTCGAAATATGCTTAGATTGGTATGATGTAGCTCTCATTATAAAAATTCTTCTCTGTGTATTCAGACTTCTTGTTTTAGTGACTTATTTCAGTGAATGTGTTGGGACCCCAAGACTACCATCAGTCTCAATGATTTGCTGGAAGGACTCACAAGACTAAGAGTTGTTATACTCACAGTTGTGGTTCATTACAGTCTCTACTATATTAACTGATTGCTTTTGGGGATGGAAGTAAGACAGAGAAGAGTTCCCCCGGTACTCTTAAAGGAATTTATTTACTGGCTTCACAAGCCCACATTTTAAAGATGATCTTAACTTTCTGGATCTGCTACTGTTTGCTTCCAATTGTGGATTTTTAGTTCTGAGGGGGGAAAATTAAAAATTCAATTTGTATGTTAGCTGGTTAATGGTCTCCTAAAGCATCCTTATAAAAAAAAAAATAGAACGTTGATTGATGATAAAATCATCTTGATTCCCTGCCCCCATGCATCTGACATACTTGTGACTGTCTGTTTTACAGGAATGGCGGGTTTTGCAGCAATCGTTGCATATGGATTATATAAATTGAAGAGCAGGGGCAATACTAAAATGTCTGTTCACCTGATCCACATGCGCGTGGCAGCCCAAGGCTTTGTTGTGGGAGCAATGACTCTTGGTAGGTTCCTACAGGACATTTCAAATTTGTGGCTCCCCATTAATGGATTTCTTTGTAAATAAAACAAGGTAGATGCTTTTAGCTGACTTTGAAGCAGTTTGCAAATATCACTTATATTCATTTTCACATAAAAACTGAATTAATAAAAATAGTTCAAGTAGTGACATAGTTTTACTGTCTATGATATAATCTTACTAAGGTTTTAAAGAAAGAAAGAAAAGATAGTACTGCCCATCACTGAGTTTATAATTTCGTTGAAGAGTCTAGATATGTAAATAGGGTTGGTAATAAGATCCATCATCTAGGAGAGACATGATTGCTGTTTTATTGAGTTTTTGAAGGTGGAAAAGATATTACATGCTTTTATAGGCTTTATAATTAATTGACTTTATCTGGTATTATATAGCAAGAGTAACTCCTTTTAAAGTTGCCAGATAAATATTGATATTTTAACAGTCTGAGCTAGTCATGCTGGCCTTGAGATACTTGGGAAATTGTGTAAAAAGAATTTTAGAAATTTGAATTGTTTAAGAAAGCAAGAATGTAAGCAGCCTAGTGCCTGGTTCCCCTTGTAAATATTGTATGCTAGCAAGGGTGCTACTTTTAGCTATTTTATGAACTGTTTTTAATTTTTTAATACTGAAGAAAATAATTAAATGCTTAACTAGCATTCTTTTTCTTTAGGTATGGGCTATTCCATGTATCAAGAATTCTGGGCAAAACCTAAACCTTAGAAGAGGAGATGCTGTCTTTGTCTTGGTGGTGCTTGCTTTAGTTAGACATCTCATATTGAGGTTATATGTTTATGTTGAAAATAAATTCTGTGGGTCAGACAATAACACAGTAATTTGAATATTGGCTTCCTTTCTTGCAGGCTTGATTTGCCTAGTGACTAGTTCACTAGCCAAGTCATTCAGGGGAGTCAGATTAGCACAAAAACATGTCACTTTTAAATGCACCTGATAGTGGTACAGTGTCCACCTTCTTAAACTCTTCTGATAAAATTAGTTGTAAAGAGGACAACATGCCAAACCTGAAAATGCTCCCAGTTGCTGTAGAATATCATATGCTTCTGATGTAATGTAGGAATCCTATTTACCCCAGTTAATTTAACTCTTTCTGACTGCCTTGTGGACTGAGTACTGTTTTTAAGGTCTGGCTGGCTCTTGAAGAACCCTTTCAGAACAGTGCACGGAATACAACGTTATAAACCTCCCAGCAACTATGTGTGTGTTTTTAAACCAAACCTAAAGAGCTGGTAACAGCTGCTTTGAAGTAGTATCTGTTTCAGAATCATAGTTGTAAACATGAGAATAACTTAACTGTAGATCCCCGTTTAGCTGTTTTGTAATTGCAGAGTTATAGTTTGCTGCTGTTATATTAGAATAATTTTTAAATGGCATTTTGAAATAGAAGTGTGTATTTTAAGTGCTAATGCAAAGGTAAATGAAAAATACTTTTTTAAATGTGTGCAGTCTGTTTACTTCCTCTGAAAGAATCATAAATGTTAAACTAAATAAATCGCCTGTAATGGAAGTGATTTATGAGCAAGCTGGTTTGGTCAGACATTATACAAACTTTGGTGTACTACAGAATGCTTTGTTGTACTTGTGAAGTTCTCTTGTCTAACCTGAATTTACATTCCATGGTGATAACATGGTAAATGTAATGTTATTAAAGTAAGTGAACACATCAAATGTCTTATATTTATTTCAATTTGGAAAAAACTATCATTCTTCAAAGTAGCACAAGTAGTTCCAAGAAAAGAGGGAGAACATCTTATGCCTTTTGTAGGAGCCATAGTTGAAGACTATTTAACAAACAGGAATAATAGCTAACAGTTACTGAGCATTTACTGTGTGCCACACACTGCTCTAAGCACTTTTCATGTAAAATGTCATTTAAGTTTCCTAACAATCCTAAGAAGTAGGAGCTATGATCCTCATTTCATGGAGGAGGAGACTGAGGTATGAATAGTTTTAAGTAATTAACCCAAGGTCACATAGGCTAGAGGAGGTTGTAGGTTTGGGACTGGAACCTGGGCAGTCAAGCAGTAGATGCCAACAGAGACTTGAAATGTTGGCCTTTGTGAAGTTAATGCTGAGTGGCAGCGGTTATCATAAATTAGTACTGTTAGACAAGAGGGTATGGCATGGTCTTAGCTCACTAGTCCACTGACTCTATAACCTGGACCAATCAAGGTTTTCTCAGTTTTCTGCTAGTTAGAAATGAGAGACTGGACTACGTAATTTCTATAGTCCTATAGAAATGTGCTTTAAAACTATAAGCTATTACTAGGGACTCTTCTCAGCCTCCAGTAGACATTACAGGAGTTGCTTGTAGGCAGTCCTAACAATTATTTCATGAAGGATAAGCCTTCTATAGAAGAACAAATTTGTGAACAAGTTTCAGAAACTTTCTAATGGATGAGTATATTATTGATTTTGTTAAATAAATAATAACAGAGAAATTGATCTAGACAAATGCCAGAGGATAGAAGAACAGGAGCAAAATGTTGAGACTGTAGTGAGCATATTAAGTGATCAGGAGACAATAAGTAAGGGTGCTTGCCTGAAGAAGACAGTGGTAAATTAGGGTGGATGAATAGGCTGGCATCAGATTATGGAAGTCCTTAAAAGTGGCTCAAGTGGATGTAACACTACTTTTTATTGAGTCAGACCTGGGTTCGTGGTTTTGCCACTTAGGAGCCGAGCAGCCGTGGTTTCCTCATCTGTAAAGTGGGGACAATGTCAGTGGCCTAGGGTTGCTGGGAAGATAAAATGCAATGGTGAACATAAAAGGGCTTAGCATCGCACCTGATGCATTAGTAATCTCTGAATGGCTGCTGTTACCATTGTTACTGTTAGGCTTGGGAATGTGGCAGCACAGGTGTGTGGGCCCTCCTCTCACAACTTACAGTCTAGCACAGAAGGCTGGCATTAGATCAGTGATTTCGAAAAGCATGATGAATACTTGGTACAGGATGCAGCAGACTGGGGACCTAACCCAGGGCTGGAGTCAGAGAAGGTATCCCCAAGGAAGTGATGTTCTAACTTAAGATGATTTTTCATCTTAAGTTAGAACATCACCTTAAGACACTGATGAAAAATTAAAGATGATACAAACAGATGGAGAGATATACCATGTTCTTGGATTGGAAGAATCAACATTGTGAAAATGACTATACCACCCAAAGCAATCCCTATCAAATTACCAATGGCAGTTTTTACAGAACGAGAACAAAAAATCTTAAAATTTGTATGGAGACACAAAAGATCCCGAATAGCCAAAGCAATCTTGAGGGAAAAAAATGGAGCTGGAGGAATCAGACTCCCTGACTTCAGACTATACTACAAAGCTACAGTAATCAAGACAATATGGTACTGGCACAAAAACAGAAATACATATCAGTGGAACAGGATAGAAAGCCCAGAGACAAACCCACACACGTATGGTCAAGTAATCTATGAAAAAGGAGGCAAGGATATACAATGGAGAAGACAGTCTCTTTAATAAGTGGTGCTGGGAAAGCTGGACAGCTACATGTAAAAGAATGAAATTAGAACACTCTGTAACACAATACACAAAAATAAACTCAAAATGGATTAGAGACCTAAATGTAAGACCAGACACTATAAAACTCTTAGAGGAAAACATAGGAAGAACACTCTTTGACATAAATCACAGCAAGATCTTTTTTGACCCACCTCCTAGAGTAATGGAAATAAAAACAAAAATAAACAAATGGGACCTAATGAAACTTGAAAGCTTTTGCACAGCAAAGGAAACTACAACCAAGACGAAAAGAGAACCCTCAGAATGGGAGAAAATATTTGCAAACGAATCAATGGACAAAGGATTAATCTCCAAAATATATAAACAGCTCATGCAGCTCAATATTAAAAAAAGAAACAACCAATCCAAAAGTGGGCAGAAGACCTAAATAGACATTTCTCCAAAGAAGACATACAGATGGCCAAGAAGCACATGAAAAGCTGCTCAACATCACTAGTTATTAGAGAAATGCAAATCAAAACTACAATGAGGTATTACCTCACACCAGTTAGAATGGGCATCATCAGAAAATCTACAAACAACAAATGCCGGAGAGGGTGTGGAGAAAAGGGAACCCTCTTGCACTGTTGGTGGGAATGTAAATTGATACTGCCACTATGGAGAACAGTATGGAGGTTCTTTATAAAACTAAAAATAGAATTACCATATGATCCAGCAATCCCACTACTGGGCATATACCCAGAGAAAACCATAATTCAAAAAGACACATGCACCCTAATGTTCATTGCAGCACTATTTACAATAGCCAGGTCATGGAAGCAACCTAAATGCCCATCGACAGATGAATGGATAAAGAATATGTGGTACATGTATACAATGGAATATTACTCAGCCATAAAAATGAACGAAATGGGGTCTTTTGTAGAGACGTGGATGGATCTAGAGGCTGTCATACAGAGTGAAGTAAGTCAAAGAGAAAACAAATATTGTATGTTAACGCATATATGTGGAACCTAGAAAAATGGTACAGATGAACCAGTTTGCAGAGCAGAAATTGAGACACAGATGTAGAGAACGAACGTATGGACACCAAGGGGGGAAAGCGGCGGGGGGTGGTGGGATGAATTGGGAGATCGGGATTGACATGTATACACTAATATGTATAAAATGGATAACTAATAAGAACCTGGTGTATAAAAAATAAAATAAAATTCAAAACTTCCAAAAAAAGGTAGGTTTTTGTATTTTTATATTCAGGATCCTGCTATTCCGGGCAAAAAGTTATTAGCCTATTTCTAGTTAACGAGCAATAGTGACATCTGGTGGTGACAGCTGGAATTTCACTCCACACATAAATCCCCAAAGTACCCTCTGCTGCTGTACCACGGAGTCAGAACTCTGGAGTAGAGGACTGGTCATGCAGACCACACCTCTTGCCTCACCGATGAGGAAACACTGCTCAGAGTTTCAGGAACTTGAAATTTAGGCTCTACCCCCATTAAATTTACAGCCCATCAAAACAAAGGCCAGAACAAAGCTGAATGAACATGAAGTATTTTAAAGTTCTCATGTGTCAAATAGTGGAACTGCCAATTATTTATATACTTAATCCTGTTTGAAAGCTCTTCAAATTGAACGGGAAATTGGAGAAAGGAAACCAAACATACACCAAACATGACTTGATTGCCACTTTCTTAGTGAATGATTTACCTGCTATAAGTTCATGTAAGAGCCACTACTACTCATGCATCCTGGCTTTATTCTTAAAGAGAGCTTACTTTCCCCTTAGTCACTGAAATGACAGAATAATTTGTTTTTAGCAAGACAAAAGTTAGGAAATTTTCTCCTAAATTCAGCAGTGATAAGTAGTGGAGGCCAGCATCCAGTTGGTCCCTGCAGAGGAACCCAGAACAGGTCCCCTCTGTAGTATCCTGAGCTTCTTATAACATTGGTGTTAGGTCTTTTTCCTGTCCCCAGTGTAACTCTGAAGTGTCACAGAGTGACTAAAAGTTTACAACCTGAGGTAGAAATGCCATCATCATACCTTTCGGCTAGAGCCCTATGACCTAAACTCAGCTTATCTGCAGCTATACTTACGGTCTTCCCTACTGGTGCTCCTTCTGAGATCACCCGTTCCTGTCAGGGATCTCCATGTCACACTGTCACACCCTGGGCTCAAACTCAGAAGTGTCTTTCCTTCCTCCTGTTCATTTATCAC